CACCGGAAGAGCTGCAGGGCTCGAGACATACCTCTTTATTTTCAAAGAGCAGCATGCAGACGACTGCATTGCACCATTGCACTGAGAACTCTTGATAGTCCCTCGTAAATGCTGAGCCCCTTCTCCAGCTGGTACCTGGACTTGGAGGAGAGTTTCCCCCACTCCTTGCTAATAAAACTATTGCCTTGAAGGTGCTTGTGAGGGTTGGCGTTTTCCTTCCGGCTGAAGGCCTGCCCGAGGACTCCCCCAGGGCCAGGGAAGGGGAAAACAGCTCTTCCAGCAGCCCCAGACTGGTCTCTACAGGCAAGACTCTACCCCGTGCTGGCAGGGCTGGTCCTGGGCTGAGTTCTCCTGTAGCCATGCTGCCCTGGCTCACTGTGGTGGGCATAGCCACTTTTAAGCCCCAGTGGTGGAGGGAGGCAGGCCCTTTCCTCGCATGCATCTTGCGCAGGATCACCCCCTCACAGGGATGTGGATCCTGGGACATGAGGGTCCTGGAGCCGAGGGACATCACTTGCCCTGGAGCAAGTGTGGCTGGACACTTATCCCTGCTCCAGCAGCTGCATCCAAGATTATAAACAGCTCCAGCTAGCCTATGGGTTTTGGCCTGCGCAAGGCTTCCTCCCAGGAAGAGGTACTTGAGAAAGTGCCTCCAGACAGTGCACCAAACGGAGGCTGCACACTAGGGAATGCAACAGCAGTGGAGGGATCTAGGCCTGATGCACTTCTGAACAATGTAGTGAGAAATCCATTACACCAGACTGGTAATTTGAACTAACAAAGAAACTTTGATGACTGTTTCAGGAAAAGTTGGAGGACTCCTTTTTACCAGCTGCCCTGCTGTCCCCACAAAGTGCGCTCCATTGCTTGAAGTGTAGCTCAGAAAGGGTACATCAGGATAGTCACTACACATTCACGGAAAAGGGGAGGAGGTAAAATCTACACAAACACTAGAAATTTTACAGTCATTTAAAGACCATTTTCAGATATTTCATTGGGGATATCAAGCCCTTGCTGATTTTTGCCATATTCACAAAGACATCGTCAAGATCTTCTTTTGACATTTTGTGTTTTGGGATTCAAGCATTTAAATACATTTGGAAGTACTCTGACCTTCAGACGGGCTGAGCACTTGGACCCTGCAGTGAAATTCAGAAGAGCTGCAGATCTTCAGCATATCTGGAAAATACTTGTGTTCATCCCCAAACACTTGTGGATTCAGTATCCACAAACCAAGTTGGGAAGTGGAAAGACTGGATCCTGGTCATCATCCTCAGCAAAGAAAAAACAAAGTGAGAGTGTAACATATAGAGGGAATCAATTACAGAGAGCATATATCTTCCCTGGTGATACAGAACTGCTTTCATAGCCAGCCTTTGGCTTTGATCCCACTACAATGTCTGCAGGGGCTGGTTCAGAGCATGCTCAAAAGTTGGGAAAAATGCTAATGAAAAACAGAAAGCAGGAATCTACAGATCTACTTTCTGTTTTGTTTTTTTTTTTTTTAAATGCACTCTGCATAAACAATATTTTATTTTCACAATTCAAATAGTCTTAATAATTGAAAAAGGAATGAATCAAAATTATTATCATATTACAAATATCAATGTTACATATACATTGATGATATAATCATAATGTTAAAAGAAAGAATAATGAAACATTATGTATTTAACCATAACTTTAATTATATGAAAGTGAATAATCTTTTTTTTTTCCAAGCCATGGGCATTTGAGCAGTTACTAACATACAGCTTGCTTAAGTTACCAGTACGGAACTGGTTCAGTGGACTGCATCTTGTGACACAGGCTAGTAGGTGCTGAAGAGATCCTCAGCGAACGGGATAGAAATCCTCCAAAAGCTCTCCTATTCTTTTCTTTTCTGCAAAAGAAAATGAAAGGAATTGGGAAAACCTGTACAACATTGAGGTAGACATTGAAGACTTAAACAACTGTAAAAAACAAAACAAAACAAGAAAAACCCCTTCATCTTAACAGGCCCCCCTAAATTTTACAAGAATAAAAACAGCAAAACAACAAAAAGAACAAGAACGACAAAACATAATTTCTAGTTTCATTAATTGTTTTGTTTATCCTTCACCGGCATGAGTTTGGTCTATTCCTTCTTTTGTAGCTCTGCAATTTTTATATTAAATTAAGCTTTTCAGTATCAGAAAGGGTCATCAAGCAGCTGATTTGCTGAGTGAGAATGTCTACTTTTACATCTTAAGCTTCCTGACTGCTGTTGGAATTTATGTTGCAAATCAAGTGCAAAAGAGAGAGCAGCCATTATGACTTGCTAGAGAGGAATGGATTCTATCAGTAGCACCTCAACATACTGATATAGATTAATGCTTAATAATCTGCATGTTATGGCAAATTAAGGTCTTTCTTAAAATAACAACTCATTATACCTTTTGTCTTAAAATCTTCCGGATGTTGCTTTACATACTCAAACAATTCTCTGTCCAGTTTAGCATGTATATATTCTGCACGCTTAGTCAGATAATATCCAACAAACCAGCCCACAGTCGTAAACAGAATCTGGCGGTGAACACCTGGATTACGATGAGAAAGTCCAAAGTGATCATTCGGCATGAGTAAGAACATAAATAAAATAAAATCTCCTAAAAGACCACCCCCTCACAACAATAAAAACCTCATGGGCAAATACTAGGGGATCCCTCCCTGCCCTTGGAAACAGGCACTGACTTCAGGTCAGCGACTCTTTGGTGGGTGCCACTGTTGCTGCAGGGTGGCCTCCTGCTTTGCCTCCCCGGCTCCTCGCAGGCACATCCCCGAATCCCACAGCCCCTTCCCCAATGGCAACCCCAGGCAGGCCGGACAAATATTACCTTGAAAATATGCACGTGCTGACATTTTCGTACAGTTATTAGACCGCAAGGAATCTTACGACTGAAGTGCAGCTGATAAAAAACTCTGTCAAGTGGACAGGCTGGTAAAGGTGAGGCGCATCCAGATTTCAGGTACGCAGCTGCAGAGAACTCAGGAGCTCATTGCCTCTTCCGCGGCAGTTCAGCACAAGCACTGCTCAGTGCTGCTGCAACGCTGCTCCGGGCAAAGTCCTTCTGCAGGCGTCTCGTTACTAATCTAAAACCGCTTGAAAACAAACACAACCAGGAGGCGTTCTGCATTGGTCAGCCTGTCTCTGGGCAGATGAAGGCCAACTTTCAGGCCAATTTTGTTATACGGAGCTTCCCTGAACAAAGCCGATCTTGTTCCCTGAGACTGAGAGCTGAGATCTCAGGTTAGACTGAGTTCTTCTGAACATACAGAACGCAGTGCTCCTAGCATTTCTTACCTATGGCTCCTTCCGCTCACTACTCTTCCCCAGGCGTCTCTTTTTCTGCCTCTGTCCAGGCTGCAAGACTCAAAAAGCAAAATACTTGCCCTTCTGGAAAGGAAGGGCCTGTGGCCAGCCGCACTATTGAGGAAAGCTGCTGTCACAGCCTTCACGGCCTCAGGCTCCCCCAAGGCCCCCACCCACACCCATGAGCCGGGAGCCCCATTTCAGCTCAGCCCAGTCCCTGCCTGAGCTACGTCATAGCTCTGCTGGTCTCCAGCCCTGTTTCTGGCCCCCTTGCCTTTGGCTCCTCCATGGGTCCTGGGCTCCCTCCACGGGCCCTGGACCTGGCTCCTCGCTCACCGTGGCTGGCGTTGCTGCTGGAGCCCATTACCAGCACCCGGCTCTGCTCAGGCTCCATGGGACTGTGCCCCGTCCGCGAGGGCACTGCCCACGCTGCTCCACCCTCAGCTCATGGTTCGCCTTCGCCTAGGCAAAGTAACGAGTACCAATTACCCAAAAAGGTGGACAACCACCACTCCTACCAGGCAACATAAGGATTTCAGAACAGGTCTAGCTCCTGTCTCTGTCTCAACCCTGGCAAGGTGGTAGGCTTCTGTCTTCAACCAGAAAAAAGGAGGAGCACAAGAGTGATCCTGGGAGACGCTTCAGCCCTGCCTATTGCAATTCCTCCTGAAGAAGGGAAGAGATGACACAGGCTAGGGGACAAGTGGAGCGGGAAGATGGACATGGTTGTCTCCAGCTTGCCTTTGGAGCTCCTCTGTCCCCGCGCTAACGGTAGAGCTAGACTTTGCTGGAGCATGAGAAAGGAAGGGAAGCCAATTTTAAGTGTTCTCAGTGAGGACCACGGAGCAGGGGAAGTCCATGGGCTCTGCTCATTTACCTCACTGGAGCTGAAAGAGGGGATCTACGATGGCTGGAGAGTCAGTGTCCTGGGGAGCCGATCAGTCAGAGCAAGGAAGGCCTGTGCTCACTTCAGGCAATGGCTTTTGGCCTGGGCTTCGCCCTTGGCAGCAACAGAGGCTCGTGGTGCCCCGGGGAAGTATCAGACTTGATGAACCCCTGCTGCTCACCACCACTGTTGAACATGACTGATAAGGGACGTGAGATGTTGCAGAAAACGTCTGTGCCCTGGGATGACTACCAAAGGTCCTTGGCAGAAAGAGCAGGGCGACAGGGCAGACCAGGCCTTCTCCGGGCATGGCAGGCGATGCTGGGCTCTGCTCTGTGATGGAGTCTCTCGAGGCACAATCAGTATGGCCCGCCCCATCCAAAAAGGCTGGCCTGGGCCTGGTTCACGTTGCAGCTCCCCTTCCTCGCTCTGCCCTCAGCCCTACCAAGTCTGTCACCTGCTATATCACCCCACTCCCCAAAACTGCCTACATCAAGTCACACCACATTGGTTCCCCCTCCGCCTTGTGCTTGGGGCCTGGGCAAAGGGGACAGAGACAGGGCTGCCCAAGGCACAGCGTGCCTGGTTCAGTGCTCTCCCAGCACCGGGGGGCTCTTGTCAGGCTGGAGAGGCTTGTGGTGCCCGTGGGGCTGCAGCAGACCTGGGCAGAATCACAGAACCAGAGAATAATTGTAGTCGGAAGGGACTTCTGGGGGTCTCCGGGCCCACCCTTCCCAAAGCAGGTGGTATTAGACCACGTGGCTCATGGCATTGTCTAGTCGAGTCTTCACTATGCCCCAAAATGTGTATTCCCTTTGCTCTGCCCCCCTGTTCCAGCGTTTGGCAACCCTCCCGGTGACAAAGTTTTTCCTTACGTCCAGTCAGAAGTTCCCATATTGCAATTTGTGCTGTTGACTCCTGTCGTTGCGCACCTCTGAGAAGAGACTGGCTCCATCTTCTTGACATGCTCCCGTGAGGCAGCTGCACACAGCAACAAGACCCCCCTTTCCCTTCTCTTTTCCAGGCTGAACAAACCTGGTGCTCTCAGCATTTCCTCACATGTCCTGCGCTCCAGTCCTCAACCATCCCAGGAGCCTCCCCTGGACTCACTCCAACCTGTCACTGTCTGTCTGCTAACGAGCAGCCCAAAACCAGACACAATGCCCAGATGTGCTCTTACAAATGCCTAATGGAGGGGAAGAATCACTGCCCCGGACCTCCTGGCTCCGCTCTTGCTAACACAGCCTCGCATGCAGTTGTGCTTCTTTGCAGCAAGGACGCACTGACGACACGCGGGCAACTTTGAGTCCACCAGGACCCCCAGGGACTCTTCTGCAAAGCTGCTGTCTAGCCGGTTGGCCTCACGCCTGGACTGCTTCATGGGAAAATTCTGATCCAATTGCAAGACACCATTGCATCACGGTGTCCCTGGGGAAGCATCCAACCCCAGTGACCCCTTGCTGCTCCCCACCACTGTTGAACGTGACTGATAAGAGATGTGAGATATTCACAGATGTGAGATGTGAGATCTGTATCCTGGAAGAACCAGCAAAGCTCACTGGCAGAAAGAGCAGGCAGACAGGGCAGCACAGCACCTCTCCAGGCACGGCAGAGGATGCTGGGCTCTGCTCTGCGACACACTTGCTCTGGGCACAGTCAATATTGCCAGCTGTCACGGGGGAAAAAATGTTCCGTTCACTCAGTTTAACCAAAATAGGAGCGTAGTTGTCTATTAGCAACATTAAACTAATGAGCAACCAGTGGACTCTACATTCAGCATCAGCATCAGGAATACAGACAAACCACGGCACTAGACCCAAAATGTTAAATACCTACAGATTTCCAAACACCCATCTATAGCCAATCCCAAAGACAGTCTAACCACGCACACACACACACACACCCAATTTTAAGGTGTGAAATCAAAACAAGCTGGTTTTTCCCCTCTGTTCTTCCTACCGCGGGATTGATGACTAGCACTACAGCACAAGCTAGGGCAGCGGGTGTCTTTAGGGATATGCAATTGCATAAAACCAGTTGCAACAGTGGTTGGATTAACTATAAACACAAAGTCCTAAGGTCTTCAGAGTCTATTCCTTAAAAACTTTGTTAGCTTTCGTCTGCAAGGACAAGGTTTGGAAATTCCTTAATAGGAGATGCTGAATCCAACCAAGTTCAGACCTCACGCTTTACAGCGGGGGCACCAGCTCTTGAAGGATTTGCATCGCAAGTGCCCAGCTGTGCAACACTAGTAGCCTTTCCTCCCCTCCCCCCCCATAAACAAAGGAAATGAGACTTATCAATTTCAACATCTAAGTAAGCCACACGACTGTTGTGACAGCTGGTTTGAAAGTCCCAAATATCAGAAAGTTTTCAAGCATTTAATTAAATACTACAATTCCACACTCCCGTTTCATTAACAGCAACGTTTTGGCCCACACAAAGCTTCGAGGGACAAAGAGAATTGGGAATAGAAATGAAGGAGGCGCCAATCCACTGCAGAGTTTCAAAGCAGCTACCCACAAAGAGTATGGCAAAGCAGAAACCAAGGGGATGTAATGCAAACTGCAACAGAGAAGTCTGAGAATGAGCTCTCTTACTCTCTCTGTTCATAGTATGAGCACGTATTTACTTCATTACGGAAACGGTCCGATGCTGTTCTCAGAGCACCCGTTCTGACAGCCATCCGCTGTTGCAACGCACTATTTTAACATCCAAGATTTTTAAAGTACATAAAGAATAACTAACTATTTAATCAACTCTCCCCTCTAAGGCAGCTACTCAACATGGAAGGCGGCCAAGAATTATTGGGGGGGGGGGGGGGGGTAAATCCATCCCTTTCCCCCTCCCACACAGTTTTGCCTGTAAGATCTAGGCTCCAAAAGAGACTTCAATTACTAGAGCAGCATCTTTTAGGGTTGCTGATGTAGGGTTTAAAATGGAATAAGTCATGGCCAGTAGGTGGGATGGACAGTAAGTAGGACAGATGGTAACTATCACCTTTACAGATTCAAAAGAATCTTTGCACATGATTCAGCAGAGGCAAAGCAGGATCTACCTCACTTTCAAAGTAAAGTACTAGAGAAATGGTTATGCGGATGCTTGGTCTTTTGTCATTAGCTGCAGTCTGATGTGAATTACTAAGGAATGCCATTTTCCACCCACGTGACTTTGAGGAACTATCCTAACACCAATGAATCTGGTAATCTCATCTCCAAAAATTCAGCTCAGAGTTTTACAAAGGACCTCAGGACAAGTTTTCAGCCAGACACTGCTATATCCTTATAGTACAGGGCTTCCAAAGCAGGGCGCACACAAGAGCTAAAAAAACTGCAAGAGATGCTCAGGACAAAGATACCAATTTAAAAAAAAAAAAAGTCTTTTATTTACATATTCCACAATATGTAGTTACTATGCTCTCTTCTACACAGCAATAATTCCTTGTCATCTGCCATATTGGTTTTCACTGAAATACAACATTAATGAGAAAGCCAGGGAGGTTTTCTTCAGGACAGAAGTCTGGACTTTTAAAACAGCCAATATGAATACAAAGTCTTTTTCATTAAGCTTCACAGTTTATTCATGGCAAGTGGCACATGTTATTGTCATGAGCTCTTCTGATAAGAGGTATTCTAGTTGGACAGTACAGGGGCGTTGGGGGAAAAAACCCTCCACTCCTCTCTTCCACGGAGAGGAAAGGTACACGTACCCCCTGCCTTATCAACAGGTGTATATTCTTATGACAAGTCCTCACAGTGCTGAATGATCCTTTCAATGGAATAACCTGGAGCTGGTCCCAATAATGCCGCTTTACTCTGCCTTTTGTCTAACTGAAGTTGGTTCAGTCAAGACAGAGACATACAGTTTCAGCCAAGCGTACGCGATACCTAGAGCACAGTAAACGGAGGTCAACAGCAGAGGGACAAAAGGAAACGTCAGTTTCCAAGGGGTCAGAGGAAATATAATTTCACAGAAGATTTCCAAAGGCACTAGTTGAACGAGGTAGAGAGTTTCAAGCCAGTTAAGAAGAGGCCTCTCTCTCCTGTCAGTGGAAGGAACAAAAAAAAAAAATTAAAACACGTTACTAGTAATAACCATTCTATTTTTCAACTATCATTGGTAGTGAGTATCATTCACTACATCTCAGTAAGGCTTTAAACAGCAATTAAAACAGCTTGCAGTAGGAAAACACATAATGAAGAAATTGGGAATCCTGTTATGTGGCTTTTATACCAAGTTCTAAGATTTTTGTTCAGCAGAAATGAATGTAGGTAAAAATCTTCGCAGGTGGGATGCTTCAACCCATATTATTGTCCTGCTGTGGCAATAACTGAACAGAGAGACCTTCCATACTTCATATACACATTTAGTCCATGGAAGTTCTCTATCTAAAGACTGGAAGCATCAGATCTATCTTAAACATCCTCCCTCTGCCTAATTTTCTGCAGAATTTATGCATCAAAGTCTCTTGCAAAGAGCATGGGAATGTGAATGTGCTTCTGGAAGAAATCTGGTTTTTGGAAAGTTAGGAAGAAGAGACTGGCAAAAGCTCTCGAGCTCTAGACAGAAAATAAGCTCTTGCAGAAGAGGTCCTAGGTT